AAAAAAAAAAAACCAAAAGCCTCGACCCAAACCCCTTCCCAAATGCAGAAAATGGCTGGAGGGAACACCTGCACCAGAGCCCTGCCGAGCCAGGCAGCAGCCAGCACTCCCTGCACGGAGAAGGGGAATGAGAACACGTGGATTTAGGCCAGGAGCAAACCCCAGACCTGGAACGCACCCAGGAAGCAAAGCAGCTCTGGACTCCAGCACACCCACAAACATGCCACTGAGGCTCCGCTCTGCAGCCAGCCACCTCGCCGCCATGCGGGGCCACCCTCGTCACCTCCTCGCAGCGCTAATGGCAGTGAGACATTCTGCCCTCCCAGGGACAGAGAGCCTTTCTTGTGACACAGGAAGGGGCAGGGCTGCCCAGGGACGGGTGCGCTCTCCCGCCTGGGACTCCGTGCTAGCACTGGTGTCCTAGTGCTGAGCAACCTCCTCCTCTCACAGCTGACAAACTGCTGAACGAGCTGGGAAGTTACAGATGTTTTCATCTGCATTTTACCCTCTCGCACTGCAGCGGTCAGCAAGGATCAAGTCACTCGTCGCCAGCAACGGAAGCAGCAGCACTGCACCACGCTGGGGCCGACGTCGCGTTGTGGGTCCAGAAACTCCCTTTTAACTCCCATACAAGGTCTCCACATCCCAGCACCGCAAGGGAAGGTGAGAAGGACTTAAGTGCACGCAGCACGACTGCACCACGCAGTATCCCTTCCCAAGACCTGATGCTTCTGCCAAAGGACTGGGCCAGCCACATCCCACCTGCAGCTGGTGGTGGAGCAGGCGGGGGGGGGGACACAGCAGCGAGGGGGCTATTGCGATACACAATCTGTGGGTGGAGGGCCGAGACTCCTCATCTTCCTCTGGCATCGCCGTGCCTGTCTCTGCAGGCAAACTGCCCTGCAGCCCGGGGGGACTGCGCTCCCTGCGGGTTTCCTAAGCTCTCGGACCTCCAGACTGCATCCTCCGTCCCAACCCCCAAAGTGTGGCGACACACCCCCTGTTCTCAAAGCATCTCTGCGCTGACACTGTCCCACTAGGGCCAAGGGACATTTCCCCTGTCCCGAGGCAGGCATTCTCCGCACAGCCTGGCATTACCTGGGGTGACACATGGTCAACGGAACAGGGGGTGGTGGACCTCCCCCCTCACTAAAGCCAGCCACCAGCTTTACGTGATTGTGTCGGAACACACTGGAGCAGAAAGGTGTTTGGTTTCACTGTAGCCTTGGATCAAGGAGGATGGAAAGACGGATTCTGACCAACAGCTCCGAACTGTCCCTACGGAACAGTGGAAGTTCCAGGATTTCACTCAGTCAGGTCAAAGTCCTTGCTGGGTCTGTGACAAGTTTGTGACTGGAGACTCTCACTGTGACAAAGGCTCTGACCGAGCCACGGGTGCTGGGCAAGCCTGGTGAGCAGTCAGAAAACTATTTACATCTCCGATGCCAATGAGGCCAAAATCTGTGACCGATAAGGACACTTGCGCAGGGGCCACTACTGCCTCTGGATCTCTGTCCAAATCCACAGGGCCAGCAATTAAAGGCAAACCCTCGTTAATGTCTGCGGGGAGAGTGAAGTCCATGGTTATCGTCTCACCAGAGCTCTGCAACGTCTCCTGCTTCTCTGCTAGTCCTGGTCCTGCCGGCGGCAAAGCATAGAGCCCCGATTCTGAGGGGTTGACAGTGTCTTGTGTGCAGGAAGCAGAGATGGCACCTGAGGACGTCTCCTCCGTGGGGTCAAAAGAACAATTCGTCTCCGAAGGAGTACTGCACTCGTAGCCTTGCCCCGATTCACTCATGCTGCCCAGGCTGCAGGCTGTGCTCTCCACGCTCAGGGGCTCTGCAGACCGCAAAGGAGGGAGACGTGGGAGATGGACAGACAGACAGACAGGGAGGAAGAAAGGGTGGGGGACAGCAAGTGAAGGAAAGCTAGAGTGAGTCTGTAACATACAAAAATCCAGAATCCAGCTCAATCCCACCTCATCACAACACTATTTGTTTGATGGCACAAATGTTTATTATAGCAACCAAGATCCCTGCCAGCATGTACCGAAGAAAGGCAAGATGCCGACAGCAGATGGGAGGCCATCAGTGTTTCTATGGAAATTAAAGGAAACCTCACAGAGACACTGCAAAATAAGCCAAATCCTAAGTCCTGTCCCCTCATGCCGACAGCCCCTGCGAGGCACCCACACAAAGCCCTCAGCTGCAGTGGGACGGTGAGGGAACGAACCCATTTTGGGCTCCCTGTGAGTGTTGTCACAGCCAGCGCTCTCGGAGAGCAGTCTGCAGGTACAGCCCGACTTCTGGTGCCTTCCAACAGCCTCCAGAGGAGTTGCCCGTGTCTAGTGTGACTGTGTGCTAGCGCACTGGAAGCACCTAACTCAGGCGCCCAAAGTTAGTGCAAATCCTTTTGCTTGGGGATGACCTAGGCCGCCCCTCCAAGCCCGAAGCAGGAACAACTCCTCTCAAGTCACTACGGGTCAATGTAGAGACAGACAAGCCTCCTTTGCTCACACCAAAATCTGCCCCAGGGCTGGCATCTGGCACAGGGCAAAGCGAGCACACGGGCAAGGTGTGGGGCGAATAACAGCAACAAGAGAAGGGCAACGGGGGGGGTCTGTGCCGCTGAGCAAGGGAGACGAGTTATCCCCATGGCAGACAGAAGAAAAGGAAGTTACCTGTGCTCTCTATTGCTATCTGATCTTGACCGAAGTGCGAATCCAGGCAGCTAGTTGCAGAGGGAATTGGTGGGGAGCTCCGAGAACGACTGGTATTTTCTACTTCACCCCCATCCAAGTCATTGTCAGTGTAATCCCTGTGGGGAAAGACAAGAGAGCACTGCCACCACCCGTGAAGCAGAGAGATGCAGGCAGGGAAAACGGTGACTGGGATTAAAATTAATCAACAGATAAAGCCACGGGACTGTAGAGACCTCACTAGAATGAACGTCCACCCCTTGCTGGTCTGCAGACCCCAGCTCAGGCTCTGCACTGAGGCGATGGCAGTTAACTCAGCGTGGCCAAGACCGGCCCACAATAAACCAGAGCGGGCTCTGCAGGCTTCCAAAGCAAAGAGCTCTGCCCCTCAGTTCTGCGAGCCCCAGCCCCTTCCAAAGCAAAATACACGGTCAAACGCTCTCCCCAGGGAACAGCCAGCTTCACGGAATGACTGCAGCGGGTGGTGACAATGTTAGTGTGCCAGCAAAGAGCAAGCGATGAACAAAAATCTTCCCACCCTGAGGGGATTTAAGATTTCAGGTATTTTCCTGTCTTGCTTCAGAATAATGGTAAAAAAAAAAAAAATAAATAAAAATCTAAGACTTCATCTGATGTCTTTAATTGATTCAACTTAAATATTTCATTTTGACCTTTTAAAACATTTCAGTTTCAACCTTTCTGAAAAGTATTTTCTGTCATTAGCATATATTTAAAAGTGAAGAATTTGCCTCAAAGGGTGGCAACAGGGAAAGAAATTAATTCAGGTCCAAGCCACCAGAAGCAGTACATTTTTTAACTTAAAAAGCTCACTTCCCAAAACCTCACTGAACTGAGTTATTTCCTGAGGTCAGTCCCAAATCCCTGACCCCGGTCTTAATTTTTGTGAATGCATTTTTCTGGAACAAAACCGTATTTTCTGACAGAAGAAAGTCCACATCCAAGCAAATAATTGCTTTATCTTCTCTCCCCACACTGGCAGCGTTTATGTTCTGAGCAGATCCAGCGCATCCCGCCATGCTCCCACCCAAGAAACCTTCTA